TATATATATATATATATATATATATATATATAAAATTTTGTATCACCCTTGATCATAAGCTCAGAATAGTCATACCTTAAAATGAAATATAGAACTGACCTTATAATTATATTAAGTAAAATCATCATTTTGCATGAATTATTTTTACAATTATTAAGAAATATAGGATACAAGTAGATTTAATTTCCTTTGAAAAAATCTACCCTTCTTGATTAACCAAGAACATGTTTCCATATGTATATTTAATAGTTCTTTTTATTTATTAGAGAATCTTATACACCGTATATGCTTTTTAATGGGTTTTCAATGACTTGCCATATTTGAATGGTGTGTTATTATCTTTATGCAACATGCTTTGTTAGGCGCCAAGGCTGTTACTTATTGACCAATAGTTCATTACCCACACAACTCTGCTTTACCAAGCTATATTTGACTAAAGTCTCTCCTACTTTCAAAGATTACGTTAAGCATGTTATCTAAAAAAAACTTTAAGCATGTGTTTGGTTAGGTGTTAATTACCTATATTTTTGTGTTCAATTTCAAGTCAAAATGCACGAGTTAAATCCTATTATTCCAGAAGTGATAGGCGTTGAATGTTGATTGGCATCAGATACAGAACCAAACATAGACAGAAAGAAACTCACTAAAGATGGGAAAGTGATAGAGGGGTTAGATAGTACGCATAAATTTGAAGTTTAAATCTTTGTTGGTGATTAGTACTAATTATACAGAAAAAAATAAATAAATAATAAATAGAAATTTGAATTAATATTATAAAAAGTAAAGGTATATAATCAGACATTTGCCTGTGGTTTGTCTGTACAGTTCAGTTCAAAAAATGCTACTAAAATCACCCCTATAACTTCTGCTGTTTAGAAAACCCCATTAGAAAGTAAAACCAACAAAACTTGCAACTCTCACTTCCTTATAAGAACATTCACAAAACTGAATCTTCCGAAGCTGCATGGACTTGTTTACTTGCATACCTATATATGCTCAAACCAAAGTTCCCACTATGTATTAAGTAGGAACACATTGGCTATCACTGCAGCAGATGGTAACTTGTGATGCAAGGACAACAATGCAATTCACTTTTATCATGTTTGGTTCCACTTTGATTTTAAGAAACTACTAGCTATAACTTTCACATCGCAAACATGATTCTTTACTTCAAGAAGGTTATGGAAAGGAAACTTGTTCTTCATGGCAAAGCTCCTTCCTTAGTTTATGTGAGAAAAGCTGGCAGGCATCCATGCTGAGATCAATGGCAGCAGAAAGTGCAATGAACAAAGCAGCATCAGCCATGCATGTGACATGCTGTGCCCCAACTTGCACAACAGGTTTGCTAGCTTTGCCTTCACCCTGCACAGTGGAACCCATTACAAACCCTTTTCCTGGTAACCTTGAACCCAGTCCAGAATCCCTCATGACTTTGTAGTCAATGCAGAATTGGCCACCCTTTTTCACATTCATTGTGGCCTCAGCAATAGGTATTCCATTGACGGGTCCATTCTCGGTGACAAGCTCAAACTTGTAGCCTAAGCCATCAACAGGACCTCTCTCTCGCCATGCTTCTAGACGACCCCATGGCTTCCAGCTACTAACAGAAGCACCGTTAATGGGGCGCAGAATAAGCCATGCACCTGGGTTTGATCTTGATACTCTGTCAGAACCAGGGGATGGGACAAATGGGGTGATCATGGAGGCAGCAGCAACGGGTGAGCCAGAGAGATCGTGAACCATTATCATCCAACCCTTTCTCTCCCTCCCATGACGTTCTCTAACACTGTTCAAGGTTCTTCTCCATCTACTGGGGTTGTTGGCAAAATCTGAAGGTTGAGACCTGAATTTCAACAAATCATGAATAAGAGGTATAACTAATTAAAGGACAAAACTTTGATCCAATACCATAGATTCTTTGGATCCTGTCATTCAATCATTATGCATAAAATGAATATTATCAAAGTAAAACTCATTAGAAAATAGTACTATCAGTAGCAATAAAACTGTGTCTAAGTCTTATGTAAGTTTTGTACTTAATTAAATTGAGAAGCATATGATAAGTTCATTGATTAATTTAGTGTGCAAAATAACAATTTGAATGGAAAATGTCAAACGTGCTAGGATAATAAATTAAATGAGATATTGGGGCTGCAGCCAGATACAGGCACATGGGAGGGAATCCACGGCAGTTATGCTTCACAGTTTGGAAAATCTCAGCCTGTCTATTTGACCAAACCTAGGTATATATGCGGCCAGATACTGGCACATGCAAAGAAAACTAAATTTAAACATGTCAAACATTTATGACTAATTTCCTATGATTAAACAAATTAAATTAGCAGCTGATAATTTTATATTTCATCTTATTAAAGATAAAAAACGCTAAAGACAAAACAATAGAAAGAATGAACACTGAAACTGCCGAACTGGTATGACTTATGAGAGGAGACAGTGACAAAACAAAAGGTGTTGGGAATGTGAAAATTGAAGTGTGAAGGGGACTTTTCCAGTTTGCATGTTTGATTCACGAGAAACAGAAAGAAACAAAGTTGAGTGATGATACCAAGCAAATGAAATGAGCAGAAAAGGATAAGGGCAGAGGCAGGTACGACACGAGAAACATGAAAATGAAGTGAGCTGTGATGGATAAGGTGATGAGAGTTGAGCCGACTGAGCATGTGCTGATGGTAGGTACCAACTCCAAAGAAATCGACAAGCCAGCCCACATGCCTAAACCTCACCTTAATTCATAACTATAATTAACCAAACATATTAGCCCCACCAGTAACTTTGCCAACCACACCAATAATCCATTTCTTCCATAACAATATTTTCGTATTTAGTCTACATTTCACCTATTATTAGCTGTCCGTGTAATTAAAAAGACTCCCACCATCATCCCCCTCTTACTTTTCAAACAATAGAATTTATTCACTAAATAAGGTAATATTTATTTTAAGTCTCTAAAAATTTTCAACTTTTTAATTTCTTATTTATGAAAATTAGTCATATGTAATCTATATTTCTATAAATGAAAAATTAAAGACAAATTTTAATGAAAGATAAAATTATATATGACACATTTTTATAAATAAAGAACTAAAGGAAAATGATTAACTTTTTAACTACTAAAAGCAAACATTACTTTAAATAAAAATATATTTAATTCTAAACAATAAAAAGCTAAATAATTGAATGGAATAAAATGTAAACACTTTTAAATCCATTAAAACTTAAATCATGCAAGTTATATTTTAAAAAAAATTATTAAAAAATCAATAAATTTATTACATATAACCGTAGATAATTAGATGACAATATAAAAAGGCAAAACTTACATGCAATTTCTTAATTGTTTTGTGTGTTGTACATGTTCTTTGACCAAAATTAAAATTTTACCTCAATCATCTAAAATATAAAGGTTTATATTAAAGCTGAATAGAATTAAATCAATTTATACAATATGTTATATTATTGTAAATTTGTAATCATTGTAATATTTCCTGCTTAAAAATAAGACTAAAACGATATTTTTCTTTTTTAACCTTTGAAATCAAATTCATACTTGGAGAATTAATTTACAACACTCGCTGAATTTGAATACATGTGAGAGTAAGATTTACGGTGGATGTGAAAAGTGAGAAAGAGTGAAAACAAAGACACGATATCTAAGTTTTGGAATATAATAAAAGTAGGATATTTTTTTCTAAACGTAAACTGAAAAAGGTGAAAATATGGAGTGTAAGTTTGTTTTTTAAAAACAAGAATAGCCTCCATGCATAAGTCCGGAATCAAAGTTCTGTAATTGTGTTGTAATTAGTTGTAACTAGTTGAGTATAGGAAGCATGGCTCAAATTAGCATGCAGAGTGATGGAAAAACTAAAATGCACCAAATATAAGAAGAAAGAGTTGTCTAACCTGGATCTGGAGTTGCGATCCGCGCTGAACTTGCAGCTGAAGACAGGCTGTCTGATATTATTCTCCCGAATCTGAAAAACCACCGGGCTGCACTCCGGTTCGCCCCCGAACTGAAACACGAACCGCGGGTCCGGTTCGGACCGGACCACAACGTGGACCCAACCCGAGGGCTTCCGCTCCGGTTCGCGCCCCTTCCGGAGCCTCAGCCAGCCGGCGTGGAACGTGCTGGGGCGCGAGAGCGCGGCGGCGAGGTCCACAGTGAGGGCGATGCGGCCGAGGAGCTTGGCGCCGGCCACGCCGCACGCGCGGGCGGTGCTGCCGGAGTAGACGGCGAGGCGGACGGTGAGGGGGCGGGAGGAGAGGCGGCGGAGCGCGGCGGCGTCGAGGTGGAAGCCCGGCGCGGAGGTGGTGGATGTGGGCTCCGAAGAGGAGGAGGAGGAGGAGAGAGGGAGGAGCGCGGTCTGAGAAGGGAAGGTGGTGACGCGAATCTTGCAGAAGCATGGAGTGGTGGAAGGGTGGACGCCGGAGAGCGGTGGCGGCTTGGTGGCGGAGGGAAGGTTGAGAGCGAGAGAGTCGAGCATGAGGCGCACGAAGGGGCAGGGATCCATTGATGAATGATGAATGATGAATGATGAAAGTGAAACGTAGAAAACGTGACCTCCTCTGTTAGTTAGTTACTGCGTTTGGAGAAGATGGTGTTGGAATTTGGTTCCTTAAGAGGGTGTGCGAGTGGGAGAAAGCTTTGTTTTGTTAGCGGGAAATTGTGAATGAGAACACCCTCACGCATGCTCATGCTGGGGCTGGGGATTTATTATTTATACTTGCTAAATCTTCCTTATGCTTTTTTACACCCTTTTCACACATAATTTTATTAATTGATTTTTTATTATGTTAAATAAATAAGGAGTAATTAACGAGTTATTTTTAATAATATTTTTTATTTTAAATAACTTACAGTCAAATTCTTTATTTAGTATTCAAACGTAATAAGATACTTTATTCATGCCACATCATCACATCAATAATCAAATTTAATTTAATTAAATTTGTCAGGATTAATTCATATTATAATAATTTTACAATACTTCTTATAAAAATATATATATATATATTTAATTTCATATAATGTGTCAAAATTAAAATTAATTTTTCAGAATTATTTTTCTTTATTTGATTAGTTCAATTTGATATTTTTATTATACTTAGATATACTTTTAAGTCGTTTCAAAATAATCAAGTTTTTTTTATGTAAAATAATAATCAAGTTTTTATTATAATTTTTGTCAAAAATAATTTTTTTAAAATTTTTTTATTAAAAGATTAAGTAATTATTTCAAGTATTTTAAAGCTCAAATTAGTTACTTTAAATTTTAAAGACATAAAATTTATAAAAAAAAAATATATTACTAAGACCAAGATCAAAATTTACTTATTTTATGAGAATTAAAAATAATGTCTACAAATTTTAGAATGATAAAAATAAATAAATAATTTTACAATAACTAAAAATTGTAACAACCTACTAAGCTAGTACATTTAATATAGCATGGTAACAACGCGGTGGAAAACTTAAAAAAAATCTCTTACTCTAAGATTATCATGCAACATTACCTAAATATTCATGTAACATATATATGTATAGGGTGCATAAAACATTAAATAGGTCCTTCCAATTTTGACTTTAAAATATAAAGTCCTTTTTGAAATTACAATAAAACCTTGTACATATATACATGTATACATTTAATAAAGCATACTCAAAACATAAAACTCTAGCACTAGTCAAGTGTCTCTAAATAATTAATGTATCAAAATAACACAACAAAATAAAGTCATCTCCAATATGGTCATCCACCGATGCCCTTTGACTTAATGTTGTCCTATTCTCATAATAAGTATTATCATCTTAATCTAACAACAAGAAAAATGTAAGGATAAGCTTGTGAAAAAAAAAATGACATATCAACACAACTATGACCCAATGCCTAGTTTAACAACACATAATAACAATATACACCATGAATTTACAACTTAACAACTTTTTTAACATACAACTTATCATATAGACAAGAGAGCTTTATCAACATTCAACAACACAACTATTTAAACAACACCACAACCCTTTCAACTGAATAACATATCAATATAGTATAATAGCAACGTAGCAACTTAACACAACTTAGCAACATGTCAACATAAAAACATTGTAACAATATAAAACAACTTATTATCATGTTAGTTTTACAACTTTAAAGCATAACATCAACGGGAACAACATTCCAATAATCAACTGAAAATAACTTAGCAACTTAAATAACAATTTTAATTTCAACAATTGGTATAACTTATCACATGTATAACATTCTCAACATAAACAACTAATGTGTCGTCACACATATTAACTTATGCGGATCTCTTACAAGAAAGGTGATCACTTTAAGTGGCTAGACCTTACTAAATCACGATGTTAACTTAACACAATCAGGTTAAGTATAAACAACATTAGGCTTCTTAGAGTGTTAGGTATATAACTTAAATTGATTTCTCAATTTTCACCACTTAAATTAAGAAAGTCTAATACTACTATAAAGGTAGAATAGCTTGAGTGTAAGTCTACCAAGGCCTTAGCATGCATATCTAAGCCTTATATGAGATTAGTTGATCGATTACCCTCCAAATACTACGCATCTTTCCAACGACTAGTTAAAAATGTTATCCCTTAACTTCATACTTTACTTAATTGGTCATTTTATATATGTATATATGTCTCAACTTTGTCCCCATATGGATCAACATTTGGTTACTTTATAATCGATATGACTCAACCTAGAGCCCCCATACTATTTTCACATAAAACATAGAAGAGACAACTTCAAAACAACTTCTTATTCAAGAGCTAACTTACTCACTAAAGGATTCTCAACTTTGGGCTCTCAGAGCAACACATTTTATACCCTCACAGTGGGATATTTTAATTTGGAAAATAACTTTACTCTCCTTTAGTTTTATGTGTTTCAACAAAGACATACATCTCATGTCTAATCAACATGTCAACATTTAACTTTATTTCACACAACTTCAATAATAGACAACTTTCAACTTAATCAAATTAAGGTTATATATAAACAACTTGAAGCTTTAATAACTTAAAATATCATACAACTTAAGCAATTTACATCGATAAGAAACTTACAATAGTAGGTAACTTACAACAATTTACATCGATAAGAAACTTACAATAGTAGGTAACTTACAACAATTTACATCGATAAGAAACTTACAATAGTAGGTAACTTACAACAATTTACATCGATAAGAAACTTACAATAGTAGGTAACTTATAACATTAGACAACTTAAATTATCATCATAGATCAATATATAATGAACTACATCTTCATCATACATCATGTAAGCAACCATCTCAAAAAGATAAGTTGAGAAAATTACAAGTTAAAAATGGAAATAAATACTTCAATCGCCTCAAAGCTTGTTTGGAGCGAAAGAAAATCTTTTGGAGTGTCCAAGAGCTAGCTCAAAGCTATTGAAATTCGCTCGAGCACCTAAGCTAGCAAAGTCAAAAAGCCTCTAATCAACCTCACTTGCTCACTTTGAACGATTTCCATGAGCGCTCTAAGCGATCAAACATAGAAAATATGCACGAATCCAAAAATGAACACAACAACTTTAGAAATTCTCTCATCCAATTACAAGATTCATACATGCAACTCATAAATAGTCATCTACTATCATCATGCAATTCAAAAATTGAATAAAATGCCACATACAACCATCAAACACATCAAGATCATCTATTTCTTCATTTTTCATGAAGAACACCAAGTTCTATCCTCAATCTCAACTTCAATGCTTACCAAAACATGAATTAACACAACAAAAACAACATACACAAATTAGAAAATCAAACAACAAGCTTTCTTTATCTCAATTGCTCTAGAAAACAAGGAAGAAGGGAAGGAATCCAAGAACCTTGAACTCTTGTACAATGACTTCTCTCTAAGATTTTCAGCTCTTCAACTTAAATCCTAGCTTCTACCACACCAACTGACAATAAAAGGGAAAAAAAGTGATCTTTTGATGGAATCAAATCAAAGATCAGACTCTATTGACTATATAACACTTCTCTTGAACCTCTCTCTAAAACTATAGAGTTATGAACTTATAAAGTTTATCTCTTATAATTCACCTTGTATATCTTAGCCTTTGTTAGACCAACTCTCATATACTTAAACTTTATCCTCTATAACTTAAGTTTAAAGTTATCTCAACTTTAACTTCTACTTTATAAAGGTTAAAACAACCAAATAACATAAAAAAAATTATATAGTTCTGAATACATAATTAAAGAGTAACATGATGTTACAAACCAAAACTTGCTCATTTTATAAAAATTAAAAAATATATAATTTTTATTTAATATGACCTCTTAATTTTTAAAAATAATATAATATTATTTTTTGTCTAATTACGACTAACAATATTAATTCTTTAAGTACTTGATACAACAATAAAAGGTATTGATACATACACATACATTATATGTGTTAAGAGTTAATTAATGAAAGGAATAACATTATTTCATTTTTAAAAGTTAGGAGACAAAATTAATTTTTAATAATATAAAAATAAAAATAAATAAAAATAATAATTCAGCATAAATATATATTAACCCACTTATGATGGATTTTTGTGGTCTCTTTTGAATATAATGGAGAAGATACACTCTCTCAACGACTGCCAGGTGGTTGAATTATTCTCGGAGACTATTGGCTTGGTTGATAGATAGATAGGAATTAGTGTACAAATTTCTCAGCTAAAGTAGGGCGAACATATAGAAACAATTTTCATTTGGAATTATTTCACTACTATTATATTGCTATCAAAATATAGTTGAATTTCTGCTTAACTATTGTTATTTGTTAGTCAACCAAATGTAACATTGAACAATGATTGAGCTTTTGAACTACTTTTCTTGTTCATAAGAAAGAATCCTGACCTAATTTTTTAAGATGAAATTTCCATTCAGTTACTACGTCATAAGAACATCACATAGTCAAATTAATGATTAAGCTGAGCGAAAACTTGTAAACTTTCATTTCATCACTGTACTGGTAATTATAAAATTAATTAGTTTCAACTAATACATTCAGAAAGAAAAAAAAAAGGTACGGTAGCCAGGAAAGAAAATTTTCCCACTGAATTTTTAGAAGCAAATTATCAAATAACAATATAGTTTTTTTTGCATTATTATATTGGTGATTGTATTTTAAATTTGTAATACTTTATATCGCAAAATTGCAATCTTTGTTTTGCTTTCTTGTTGCATCTTTATTATTAAAACAAGAAGGTAACAGATACATGTTAGATGGATTTTATTTTAAAAGTTGTTATATTAATTAGTAGCATTTCATCACATTCATTTTCAAATATTCTTATTATAAAATTAAATTCGAAAACTTAAGATTAAAAATTACTTCAGTAACTTAAAAATTCGTTAAAAATCATAGGTCATCTAATAATATAATGTATGTAAGCAAAGTATTATAAATTGATTTTGTTGGATTAATATCATATCTACTTTTTGAAAGTAATTTTAAAATTTATCCTATCAATTATTATTAGATTCATCCAATTATCTATTATTTGGTTAGTATTCAAGCATCAATCTATATCCAATTCTCGATGTAAAATATATATTTTAAGGTTTTATATCAATTAGTGATATAATTAATGTGATTTATTTAGCATCATCTATTATTTTACAAATTAGTT